GGGGTGCTATAGGGTGCTATAGGTGGTTATGGGGTGCTATAGGTGGTTATGGGGTGCCATAGGTGGTTATGGGGTGCCATAGGTGGTTATGGGGTGCTATTGGGTACTGTAGGTGGCTATGGGGTGCTATCGGGTGCTATAGGTGGTTATGGGCTGCTGTAGGGTGCTGTAGGTGGTTATGGGGTGCTATAGGTGGTTATGGGGTGCTGTGGGGTTCTATATGTTGTTATGGGGTGCTAGAGGTGGCTATGGGGTGCTATAGGTGATTATGGGGTGCTATAGGTGGTTATGGGGTGCTATAGGTGATTATGGGGTGCTATAGGTGGTTATGGGGTGCTATAGGGTGCTGTAGGTGGTTATGGGGTGCTATAGGTGATTATGGGGTGCTATAGGTGGCTATGGGGTGCTCTGGGGGCGCTGTGCCTGTTCCACACCTCTGTGTGTGTGTGTGTGTGTTGGGGGGGTGTTGGGGGCAGCCTCCGTGTCCCTGCCCCCCCCCCCCATGCTCAGCCCTGCCCCCCATGCTCAGCCCTGCCCCCCAGGCTCAGCCCTGCCCCCCCCCCAGGCTGAGCCCTGCCCCCCATCTCCCCCCCCAGACGCGTTCCCGGGCTCGGAGCCGCGGGTGCTGGGCCTGGCCATGGTGCCGGGCCACCACATCGTGTCCATCGAGGTGGAGCGCGACGGGAGCGCCCCCCTGCCCCCCACCGACGCCCCACATTAAACGTGTGCGACACCCCTCCCCCCTCGCCTCTCGTCATTGCCCCGCCCCCTCCCCCCACGCCTCTCGTCATGGCCCCGCCCCCTCCCCCCCCTCGCCTCTCGTCATTGCCCCGCCCCCTCCCCCCCTCGCCTCTCGTCATGGCCCCGCCCCCATACCCCCCGTTTAATCCCCCCCACTGTGATGGGGACCCCCCCATGGCCCCCACTTTATTCCCCCCCCCCACTGTGTAATGGGGACCCCCACTTTATCCCCCCCTTTAACCCCCCCCACTGTGATGGGGACCCCCCATGACCCCCACTTTAACCCCCCCGTGTAATGGGGACCCCCCCTTTAATCCCCCCCCCCCACTGTGATGGGAACCCCCCCTTGTGACCCCCCCTTTAACCCCCCCCCACTGTGATGGGGACCCCCCCATGGACCCCACTTTATCCCCCCCCCCACTCCGTAATGGGGACCCCCCCCCTTTAACCCCCCCCACTGTGTAATGGGGACCCCCCCCTTGGCCCCCCCCACTGTGATGGGACCTCCCCCCACTGTGTGATGGGGACCCCCCCTTTAACGCCCCCCCACTGTGATGGGGACCCCCCCATGGCCCCCACTTTATCCCCCCCCCCACTCTGTAATGGGGACCCCCCCCTTTAACCCCCCCCCCCACTGTGTGATGGGGACCCCCCCTTTAATCCCCCCCCCACTGTGATGGGGACCCCCCCCATGACCCCCACTTTAACCCCCCCGTGTAATGGGGACCCCCCCTTTAATCCCCCCCCCACTGTGATGGGGACCCCCCCGTGACCCCCCCTTTAATCCCCCCCCCCCCCACTGTGTGATGGGGACCCCCCCTTAACCACCCCCCACTGTGATGGAGACCCCCCCCCATGACCCCCACTTTATTCCCCCCCCCACTGTGTGATGGGGACCCCCCCTTTAATCCCCCCCCCCACTGTGATGGGGACCCCCCCCGTGACCCCCACTTTATTCCCCCCCCACTGTGTGATGGGGACCCCCCCCATGGCCCCCACTTTATTCCCCCCCCCACTGTGTAATGGGGACCCCCCCTTTAATCCCCCCCCATTGCTCCCCATTTTCCACCCCTATGCTCCCCCCATTCCATTGACACCCCTCCCCCCCCCCCGCCCCTCCCCCCACCGGAGCCATTCGGGCCTTGCCATTAATTTAATCTCAGGTACAAAATAGCTTCTGTGGCCGCGGGGGGGGGAGGGGATAGGGCGGAGGGGGGGAGGGGGGAGGGGCAGTTCCGACCCCTCCCCCACCCCCCCCCAACCACCAAATATGGGGGGTGGGGGTGGGGCCATAAGGGAGGGGGTAGGTGGGGGAGGGGCCCAGCACCATGAGGGGGGAGGGGAAGAGGTGGGGGGGGGTGGGGGTGGGGCCATGCAACCCCTCCCCCCCCTCCCCCCATAGGGGTCACGTGGGGTCACAGTGACCCCTCCCCCCCCTCCCCGCGCGCCCCTCCCCAATAAATAACGCGCCCCCTCCCCCCCCCCGCGTATAAATTAAAAAAGAGGCAAAAAAACCCAAAATCATTTACAAAAAACCCCAAAAAAACCCTCGGGAGGGGGTGGGGGTGGGGGGGAGGGGCGGGGGGGGGAGGGGCACAGATCCCCCCTCCCCCCCCCTTTTGCACCATGGTTTGGGGGTCCCCCCCTCCCCCCATTGAGACCTGAGCCCCCCCCTTCCCCCCCATCCCCCATAGCCCGGGGGGGGGTGGGGAGGGCCCCCCTGAAAAGGACCCGGATGGGGGTGGGGGAGGGGCGGCGGTGGGGGAGGGGCGTGTTTTTGGTTGTGTCTTGGCAAAGGGCCGCCCCTCCCCCCTCTCCACTGACCCCCATTGTAATGGGGGGGGGGCACCCAAGAGTGGGGGAGGAGCAGAGGGGCCCCCCCCATCCCCCACAGTGGGGGGAGGGGCAGCCGGGGGGGTGGGGCTTAAAAAATTGCTATAAATGGGGATTTGTGTATAAAACTGGGGGGGGGGAGGGGCCCCCCAACCCCCCCTCCCCCCCCCACATCCGAGCCCCTCCCCCCCCACATGGGGGGGGGGGTGGAGGGGTGGGGGAGGGGCAATATCACCGGGAATAAATAACAATGTTCATTAGGGGGGAGGGGTTGGGGGGGAGGGGCACGGGACGCCCCCCCCCCCGTCATCATCATCATCACGTGACCCCCCCGATGGGGGGGGCGGGGCTCATCTGGAGCTGGGTGATGGCACCTGCAATGGGTGGGGGGAGGGGTTAGGGGGGTAAAGGGGGAGGGGGCACATGCCCCCCCCCATAACCCCCTATGTGGGTCAACCCAAGCCCATGGGGACCTGGGGGTTTACCTATAGTGGTGTCCCCATAGGGCTGTCTCTATGGGGCTGTCCCTTTAGGGGTGTCCCCATAGCGGTGTCTCTATGGGGCTGTCCCTATAGGGGTGTCCCTGTAGGGCTGTCTCTATGGGGCTGTCCCTATAGGGGTGTCCCCATAGGGCTGTCTCTATGGGGCTGTCCCTATAGGGGTGTCCCTATAGCGGTGTCTCTATGGGGCTGTCTCTATGGGACTGGCCCCATGGTGCTGTCTCTATAGGGCTGCCCCCTTAGTGCTATCCCCATAGCGATGTCTCTATAGGTCTGGCCCCATAGTGCTGTGCCCATACCGGTGTCTCTATAGGGTCGTCCCCATAGTGCCATGCCCATAGTGGTGTCTCTATAGGGCTGTCCCCATAGTGCTGTCCCTATAGGGCTGATGCCATACTGCTGTCTCTATGGGGCTGTCCCCATAGTGCTATCCCCATAGTGCTGTCCCTATGGAGCTGTCCCTATGGGGCTTTCTTCATAGGGCTGTCCCCATAGTGCTATCCCCATAGTGCTGTCCCTATAGTGCTGTTCCTATGGGGCTGTCTTCATAGGGCTGTCCCCATAGTGCTGTCCCTATGGGGCTGTCTCTATGGGGCTGTCTTCATAGGGCTGTCCCCATAGTGCTATCCCCATAGTGCTGTCCCTGTGGAGCTGTCCCTATGGGGCTGTCCCCATAGTGCTGTCCCTATGGGGCTGTCTTCATAGGGCTGTCCCCATAGTGCTATCCCCATAGTGCTGTCCCTATGGAGCTGTCCCTATGGGGCTGCCTTCATAGGGCTGTCCCCACAGTGCTATCCCCATAGTGCTGTCCCTATAGAGCTGTCCTCATAGTGCTGTCCCCATAGTGCTGTCCCTATGGGGCTGCCTCCATTGGGCTGTCCCCATAGTGCTATCCCCATAGTGCTGTCCCTATGGGGCTGTCCCTATGGGGCTGTCCCTATGGAGCTGTCCCTATGGCGCTCTCCCTATGGGGCTGTCCCTATGGGGCTGTCCCTTTGGCACTGTCCCTATGGGGCTGTCCCTATGGCGCTGTCCCTATGGCGCTGTCCCTATGGGGCTGGCCCCACGGGGGGCTCACCAGGGTGAAGCTGTCGTAGATGTTCATGAGCTCCTCGGTCTTGTACTGCTCGAGCACCACGACCCCGTGCAGGGCCCCACTGCGGCGCCGCGCGCAGCCCTCGCAGTGCACCAGGTACGTGTTGCGCCCGCCCGTCTCGCTGGTCACAAACAGGATGTTGAACACCTCCACCTGTGGGGCCGGGGGCAGCAGCGTCACAACGGGGGGGACAACAACGGGACAACAGCGTCACAACGTGGGGACAATGGGACAACAGCGTCATAATGGGGGGACAACAATGGGACAACAGCGTCACAATGTGGGGACAACAACGGGACAACAGCGTCATAACGGGGGGACAACAACGGGACAACAGCGTCATAATGGGGGGGACAACAACGGGACAACAGCGTCACAATGGGGGGCACCACCGGGACAACAGCGTCACAACAGGGGGGCAACACCAGGACAACAGCATCACAACGGGGACAACAGCGTCATAACGGGAACAACAATGGGACAACAGGGTCACAATGGTGGATCAACAGCGTCACAACAGGGGGACAACACCACGACAACAGTGTCACAATGGGGGGCAACAGCGTCACAACAGGGGGACAACACCAGGGCAACAGTGTCACAACAGGGGGACAACAGCGTCGCAACACGGGGGACGCCAGGACAACTGCGTTGCAACAGGCAGACAACACTGGGACAACAGGCTCACAGTGGGGGGACAACAATGGGACAACAGTGTCATGATGGGGACAAGAAGAGTGTCATAATGGGGGCAACACTGGGACAACAGCATCACAACGGGAATAATGTCACAATGGGGGCAACACCATCACAACGGGGGGCAATGTCACAATGGGGACAACAGCGTCACAACGGGGGTCAAGAGCATCACAACAGGGGGGCAACAGTGTCACAACAGGGTTAACAGTGTGGACAACAGCCTCACAACAAGGGGACAACAGTGTCACAACAGGGGGACAGCACTGGGATAACAGCGTCACAACGGGGGGGGGCAGGGGGGTCACCATGGACACAATGAGTGGACAACAGCATCACACCGGGGGTTAGCAGTGGGACAGCGAGAGGCCACCAGCATCACACACGGGGGACAACAGCGTCACAACGTGGGGTCCCCACGGAGACAATGGGTAGACAACAGCATCACAACATGGGGTCCCCATGGAGACAATGGGTAGACAACAGCGTCACAATGTGGGGTCAACAGCGTCACACCATGGGGACAATGAGAGGACACCATGGGGGCAAGAAGGGGCCAGGAGTGTCGCACCATGGGGACAAGGAGTGGGGGACGGCCCAGCCCCACCTCCAGCCCCACTCACGTCGCACTCGTTGCAGTAATAGGCCGGCTCGTCCTTCACCCGCGCCTGGAAGGTGATCTTCTTCCCTGCTCGCACCAGGCTCTCGCGCTGCACCTGACAGTGCTTGATGGACTGCAACAGGCAGTACCTGCAACACCCATTGGCACCCATTGGCACCCAGTGTCACCCTACAGTGCTTGATGGACTGCAACAGGCAGTACCTGCAACACCCATTGGCACCCAGTGTCACCCGACAGTGCCTGATGGAGTGCAACAGGCAGTACCTGCAACACCCATTGGCACCCAGTGTCACCCTACAGTGCCTGATGGACTGCAACAGGCAGTACCTGCAACACCCATTGGCACCCAGTGTCACCCAGTGTCACCCTACAGTGCTTGACGGACTGCAACAGGCAGTACCTGCAACACCCATTGGCACCCAGTGTCACCCTACAGTGCCTGATGGACTGCAACAGGCAGTACCTGCAACACCCATTGGCACCCATTGGCACCCAGTGTCACCCTACAGTGCTTGATGGACTGCAACAGGCAGTACCTGCAACACCCATTGGCACCCGGTGTCACCCAGTGTCACCCGACAGTGCCTGATGGACTGCAAGAGGCAGTACCTGCAACACCCACTGGCACACAGTGTCACCTGACAGTGCTTGACGGACTGCAACAGGCAGTACCTGCAACACCCATTGGCACCCAGTGTCACCCGACAGTGCCTGATGGAGTGCAACAGGCAGTACCTGCAACACCCATTGGAACCCAGTGTCACCCAGTGTCACCCGACGGTGCTTGATGGACTGCAACAGGCAGTACCTGCAACACCCACTGGCACCCAGTGTCACCCTACAGTGCTTGATGGACTGCAACAGGCAGTACCTGCAACACCCATTGGCACCCAGTGTCACCCTACAGTGCCTGATGGACTGCAACAGGCAGTATCTGCAACACCCATTGGCACCCAGTGTCACCCAGTGTCACCCAGTGTCACCCTACAGTGTCTGATGGACTGCAACAGGCAGTACCTGCAACACCCAGTGTCACCCAGTGTCACCCTACAGTGTCTGATGGACTGCAACAGGCAGTACCTGCAACACCCAGTGTCACCCAGTGTCACCCTACAGTGCTTGATGGACTGCAACAGGCAGTACCTGCAACACCCATTGTCACCCAGTGTTACCCGACAGTGCCTGATGGACTGCAACAGGCAGTACCTGCAACACCCATTGGCACCCAGTGTCACCCTACAGTGCTTGATGGACTACAACAGGCAGTACCTGCAACACCCAGTGTCACCCTGTGTCACCCTACAGTGCCTGATGGACTGCAACAGGCAGTACCTGCAACACCCATTGGCACCCAGTGTCACCCAGTGTCACCCGGTGTCTCCATCCCCACCATGTCCCCATACTCAGGGTGTCCCCACCCCTGCCCCTGTGTCTCTCTGTGTCTGTGTGGGTGTCCCTGTGTTACCCCAGTGCTATCCCGTTGTTACCCCTTTGTTACCCCTTTGTTACCCCGGTGTTACCCTGTTGTTATCCCGTTGTTACCCCGTTGTTATCCCGCTGTTACCCCGGTGTTATCCCGATATTACCCCAGTGCTATCCCCTTGTTACCCCAGTACTAGCCCGTTGTTACCCCATTGTTACCCCAGTGCTATCCCGTTGTTACCCCACTGTTACCCCATTGTTACCCCACTGTTACCCCGCTGTTACCCCACTGTTCCCCCCTGTTCCCCCCCTCACTTGATCATGCTGTAGAGGTCGGGGTCGCTGATCTTCACGGTGCGCGCCACGTTCCAGGACACGTGGATCATGGGCACGATGGACTTCACGTTCTTCACCTCGTTCCACTCGTAGCGCTCCAGCGCCAGCTGGTACTGGTAGGCTGGGGGCAGGGGGGCACTGGGAACACATCCCCCGACCCACACCCCATACACCCCATATCCCATACCCCACATCCCATACCCCATATCCCATATCCCATACCCCATACCCCATATCCCACACCCCACATCCCATACCCCACATCCCATATCCCATACCCCATATCCCATACCCCACATCCCATATCCCATACCCCATACCCCACATCCCATATCCCATACCCCATACCCCATGTGTACCCCATGTACCCTATTCCTCATACCCCATATCCCACACCACATACCCCATGTACCCCATACCTCATACCCCATGCCCCATACCCCATATCCCATACCTGTACCCCATGTACCCTATTCCTCATAGCCCACACCCCCCATGTACCCCATACCTCACACCCCACACCCCATGTACCCCATACCCCACACCCCATATCCCATACCCCATGTACCCCATACCTCACACCCCACACCCCATACCCCATGTACCCCGTACCCCACACCCCCCATGTACCCCATACCCCATATACCCCATACCCCACACCCCCCATGTACCCTATACCCCATATACCCCATACCCCACACCCCATACCTCATGTACCCCATACCTCACACCCCATACCCAACACCCTCCATGTACCCCACACCCCATACGCCATGTACCCCATACCCCATGTACCCCATACCCCATACCCCATGTACCCCATACCCCCCACCCTCCATGTACCCCATACCCCACACCCCCCATGTAACCCATACCCCACACCCCATACCTCATGTACTCCATACCCCATGTACTCCATATCCCATACTTCACCCCATACCCCATGTACCCCATACCCCACACACTCCCCCCCATAGATACCCCATACATCCCATACCCCCTATACCCCATACCCCACACCCCATACCTCATGTACCCCATACCCCATGTACTCCATATCCCATACTTCACCCCATAACCCATGTACCCCACACCCCCCCCATGTACCCCACACCCCCCATGTACCCCATACCCCATGTACCCCATACCCCCCACCCTCCATGTACCCCATACCCCACACCCCCCATGTACCCCATACCCCACGTACCCCATACCCCATGTACCCCATAACCCACACCCCATACTTCACCCCATACCCCATGTACCCCATACCCCACACCCCCCATGTACCCCACAACCCCCATGTACCCCATACCCCACACCCCATACCTCATGTACCCCATACCCCATGTACTCCATATCCCATACTTCACCCCATAACCCATGTACCCCACACCCCCCCCATGTACCCCACACCCCCCATGTACCCCATACCCCATGTACCCCATACCCCCCACCCTCCATGTACCCCATACCCCACACCCCCCATGTACCCCATACCCCACGTACCCCATACCCCATGTACCCCATAACCCACACCCCATACTTCACCCCATACCCCATGTACCCCATACCCCCCACCCTCCATGTACCCCATACCCCACACCCCCCATATACCCCATACCCCACACCCCATACCTCATGTACCCCATACCTCACACCCCATACCCCACACCCCCCATGTACCCCATACCCCACGTACCCCATACCCCATACCCCATGTACCCCACACTTCACCCCACAGCCCCCCCCACCGCCGGTACCTGTCAGCGGCCCCACATTCCAGGCGATGTTGTTGCACCACCCCGTGGCCTGCACCCAGTGCACGGTGCCGGCGTTGATCCACACCAGGTCCCCGGGGCGCTGGACGAAGCGGTACACGGGGATGTTGGAGCCGTACAGGTCCTCCAGCACCGGCCACCACGAGCCCGTCAGGTAATCCACGCCGTGCCTGCGGCACCCACAGCCTCACACAGCGCCCCACGGAGCCCCACTGCGCCCCACAGAGCCCCACTGTGCCCCATGGAGCCTGCCCCATAGAGCCCCACTGTGCCCCACAGAGCCCCACTGCGCCCCAGCGAGCCCCACTGCGCTCCATGGAGCCTGCCCCATAGAGCCCCACTGCGCCCCAGAGAGCCCCACTGCATCCCATAGAGCCTGCCCCATAGAGCCCCACTGCGCTCCAGAGAGCCCGACTGCGCCCCATAGAGCCTGCCCCAGAGAACCCCACTGTGCCCCATAGAGCCCCACTATGACCCAGAAAGACCCACAGAGACCCAGAAAGACCCACTGCTCCCCAGAGAAACCCACTGCGCCCCATAGAGCCTGCCCCAGAGAGCCCCACTGTGCCCCACACTCATAGTACTCCCTAGAGCCCCACTGTGCTCCAGAGAGACCCACTGCGCCCCACAGAGACACAGAAACACACTGCCCCATAGACAGAAACCCATAAAGACCCACTGTGCCCCACAGAGCCCCATAGAGCCCCACTGCAGCCCAGAGAGACCCACTGTGCCCCATAGAGCCTGCCCCATAGAGTCCCACTGTGCCTCAGAGAGCCTGCCCCATAGAGCCCCACTGTGCACCAGAGAGACCCACAGTACTCCACAGAGACCCAGAGAGCCCCACTGTGCCCCATAGAGCCTGCCCCATAGAGCCCCACTGAGCCCACCCCATACAGGCCCACTGTGTCCCAGAGAGCCCCATTGATCCCCATAGAGCCCCACTGGGCCCCATAGAGCCCGCCCCACAGAGCCCCACTGTGCCCCACAGAGCCCCACTGTGCCCCACAGAGCCCCACTGTGCTCCACCCCTTTTTCCTAAGCCCCACCCCTTTCCCCATCCCTCCTCATTGTGCCCTATGGCTCCGCCCCTTTCATTTCAGCCCCGCCCCTTCGCTTTAGCCCCTCCCCTTTCCCCCACCCCTCACCATTGTGCTTTATGGCTCCACCCCTTATCTTTAGCCCTGCCCCTTTCTAATTGCCCTTTATGTCACGTGACCCCATCCTTTCCCCTAGGCCACGCCCCTTTGCCCATAGACCACGCCCTTTTGTACTAAGCTCCGCCCCTTTCCCCATCTCTCACCATTGTGCCCTATGGCTCCACCCCTTCCCATAAGCCCCGCCCCTTCCTTTAACCCCGCCCCTTCCGCTAAGCTCCGCCTTTTCACCCTAAGCTCCGCCCCCTTCCCAACCCTTCATTATTGTGCCCTATGGCTCCACCCCTTTCGTTTAGCCCCGCCCCTTTCCCATCCCTCACCATTGTGCCCTATGGCTCCGCCCCTACCCCTAAGCCCCGCCCCTTTCCCATCCCTCACCATTGTGCCCTATGGCTCCACCCCTTCCCTTTAGCCCCGCCCCTTTCCCATCCCTCACCATTGTGCCCTATGGCTCCACCCCTTCCCTTTAACCCCGCCCCTTCCCCACCCCTCCCCATTGTGCCCTATGGCTCCACCCCTTCCCTTTAACCCCGCCCCTTTTCCACCCCTCACCATTGTGCCCTATGGCTCCACCCCTTCCCTTTAACCCCGCCCCTTTCCCATCCCTCACCATTGTGCCCTCTGGCTCCGCCCCTTCCCCACCCCTCACCATGGTGCCCTATGGCTCCGCCCCTTCCCCTAAGCCCCACCCCTTTCCCACCCCCACCATTGTGCCCTATGGCTCTGCCCCTTCCCCATTCCTCAGCATTGTGCCCTATGGCTCCACCCCTTCCCCTAAGCCCCACCCCTTAGCATTGTGCCCTATGGCTCCGCCCCTTCCCTTTAACCCCGCCCCTTTCCCATCCCTCACCATTGTGCCCTATGGCTCCACCCCTTCCCCTAACCCCACCCCTTAGCATTGTGCCCTATGGCTCCGCCCCTTCCCTTTAGCCCCGCCCCTTTCCCATCCCTCACCATTGTGCCCTATGGCTCCACCCCTTCCCTTTAACCCCGCCCCTTCCCCACCCCTCACCATTGTGCCTTATGGCTCTGCCCCTTCCCCACCCCTCCCCATTGTGCCCTATGGCTCCACCCCTTCCCTATAACCCCGCCCCTTCCCCACCCCTCACTATTGTGCCCTATGGCTCCACCCCTTCCCTATAACCCCGCCCCTTCCCCACCCCTCACCATTGTGCCCTATGGCTCCACCCTTTCCCTTTAACCCCGCCCCTTTTCCATCCCTCACCATTGTGCCCTATGGCTCCACCCCTTCCCCTAAGCCCCACCCCTTTCCTACCCCTCATCATTGTGCCCTATGGCTCCGCCCCTTCCCCATTCCTCAGCATTGTGCCCTATGGCTTCACCCCTTCCCTTTAACCCCGCCCCTTTTCCACCCCTCACCATTGTGCCCTATGGCTCCACCCCTTCCCTTTAACCCCGCCCCTTTCCCATCCCTCACCATTGGGCCCTATGGCTCCGCCCCATCCCCACCCCTCACCATTGTGCCCTATGGCTCCGCCCCTTCCCCTAATCCCCACCCCTCACCATTGTGCCCTATGGCTCTGCCCCTTCCACTAAGCCCCGCCCCTTTCCCATCCCTCACCATTGTGCCCTATGGCTCTGCCCCTTCCCCATTCCTCAGCATTGTGCCCTATGGCTCCACCCCTTCCATTTAGCCCCGCCCCTTTCCCACCCCTCACCATTGTGCCCTATGGCTCCACCCCTTCCCGTTGAACCCCGCCCTTTCCCATCCCTCACCATTGTGCCCTATGGCTCCGCCCCTACCCCTAAGCCCCGCCCCTTTCCCATCCCTCACCATTGTGCCCTATGGCTCCACCCCTTCCCTTTAGCCCCGCCCCTTTCCCATTCCTCATCATTGTGCCCTATGGCTCCACCCCTTCCATTTAGCCCCGCCCCTTTCCCCACCCCTCACCATTGTGCCCTATGGCTCCACCCCTTCCCTTTAACCCCTCCCCTTCCCCACCCCTCCCCATTGTGCCCTATGGCTCCACCCCTTCCCTTTAACCCCGCCCCTTTTCCACCCCTCACCATTGTGCCCTATGGCTCCACCCCTTCCCTTTAGCCCCGCCCCTTTCCCATCCCTCACCATTGTGCCCTATGGCTCCACCCCTTCCCTATAACCCCGCCCCTTCCCCACCCCTCACCATTGTGCCCTATGGCTCCACCCCTTCCCTATAACCCCGCCCCTTCCCCACCCCTCACCATTGTGCCCTATGGCTCCACCCCTTCCCTTTAACCCCGCCCCTTTCCCATCCCTCACCATTGGGCCCTATGGCTCCACCCCATCCCCACCCCTCCCCATTGCCCCCCATGGCCCCGCCCCTCCCCTTTGGCCCCGCCCCTCGCCTGTCGCAGAAGCCGCTGATGGTCTCCCAGTAGTGCTCGTGCACCGCGAACCACTCGCAGTCTCCGGGCCCGATGTTGATGTTCACCGAGCAGAAGTTGTTGTTCTCCTGGTGGCCTGCGGGGACAGCGCCCTCATGGCACCCCATAGGGACCCATAGGGACCCATAGGGACCATAGGGACCCATAGGGACACATAGGGACCCATAGGGACCATAGGGACACATAGGGACACATAGGGACCCATAGGGACCATAGGGACACATAGCGACACATAGGGACACATAGCGACACATAGGGACACGTAGGGACCCATAGCGACACATAGGGACACATAGGGACACATAGGGACACATAGCGACACATAGGGACACGTAGGGACCCATAGCGACACATAGGGACACATAGGGACCCATAGGGACACATAGGGACACATAGGGACACATAGGGACCCATAGGGACACATAGGGACCATAGGGACCATAGGGACACATAGGGACCCATAGGGACACATAGGGACCCATAGGGACCATAGGGACACATAGGGACCCATAGGGACACATAGAGACCCCATAGAGACACATAGGGACACATAGGGACACATAGGGACACATAGAGACCCCATAGAGACACATAGGGACACATAGGGACACATAGAGACCCCATAGAGACACATAGGGACACATAGAGACCCCATAGAGACACATAGGGACACATAGGGACGCATAGGGACACATAGGGACATATAGGGACCCATAGGGACACATAGGGACACACAGGGACATATAGGGACACATAGGGACCCATAGGGACACATAGGGACCCATAGGGACACATAGAGACCCATAGGGACCACAGAGACCCATAGAGACCCACAGGGTCTATATACACCCCATCGATGTCACCCCATCGATGTCACCCCACAGTGTCTATATACACCCCATCGATGTCAACCCATCGACGTCACCCCACAGGGTCTATATACACCCCATCGATGTCACCCCATCGATGTCACCCCACAGGGTCTATATACACCCCATCGATGTCACCCCACACTGTCTATATACACCCCATTGACATCACCCCACAGGGTCTACATACACCCCATCGATGTCACCCCATCGATGTCACCCCCCACTGTCTATATACACCCCATTGATGTCACCCCATCGATGTCACCCCATCGACATCACTCCACAGTGTCTATATACACCCCATTGATGTCACCCCATCGTTGTCACCTCACAGTGTCTGTATACACCCCATCGATGTCACCCCATCAATGTCACCCTACACTGTCTATATACACCCCACCGATGTCACCCCATCAACGTCACCCCAGTGTCTGTATACATCCCATCGATGTCACCCCATCAATGTCACCCTACACTGTCTATATACACCCCATCGATGTCACCCCATCGATGTCACCCCACACTGTCTATATACACCCCATCGATGTCACCCCATCAATGTCACCCCACAGGGTCTATATACACCCCATCGATGTCACCCCATCAATGTCACCCCACAGTGTCTGTATACACCCCATCAATGTCACCCCATCAATGTCACCCCACAGGGTCTATATACACCCCATCGATGTCACCCCATCGATGAGACCCCACAGGGTCTATATACACCCCATCAATGTCACCCCACACTGTCTATATACACCCCATTGATGTCACCCCATCGACATCACCCCACATGGTCTACATACACCCCATCGATGCCACCCATCGATGTCCCCCCACACTATGTACACCCCATCAACCCATGTCACCCCACACTGTCTATATACACCCCATCAACACCACCCCACAGTATCTATATACACCCCATCAATGTCACCCCATCGACGTCACCCCCCAGTGTCTATATACACCCCACTGATGTCCCCCCACACTACGTACACCCTATCGACGCCACCCCATCGATGTCCCCCCACACTATGTACACTCCATCGACGTCACCCCATCGATGTCCCCCCACACTGTCTATATACACCCCATCGATGTCACCCCATCGATGTCACCCCATCGACATCACCCCACAGGGTCTACATACACCCCACCGATGTCATCCCATCGACATCACCCCAGTGTCTATATACACCCCATCGACATCACCCCACAGGGTCTACATACACCCCATCGATGTCACCCCATCGACATCACCCCACAGGGTCTACATACACCCCATCAATGTCACCCCATCGACGTCACCCCAGTGTCTATATACACCCCATCGATGTCACCCCACACTGTCTATATACACCCCATCGATGTCACCCCATCGATGTCACCCCATCGACATCACCCCACAGGGTCTACATACACCCCACCGATGTCATCCCATCGACATCACCCCAGTGTCTATATACACCCCATCGACATCACCCCACAGGGTCTACATACACCCCATCGATGTCACCCCATCGACATCACCCCACAGGGTCTACATACACCCCATCGATGTCACCCCATCGACATCACCCCACAGGGTCTACATACACCCCATCGATGTCACCCCATCGAAGTTACCCCATCGACGTGTCGTGTGTGTGTGTCCCCCCCACACTATGCACACACACCCCACCGCGGGTGCTCAGCCCACCGTCACCCTCCCGCCGCCCCAGCGGCTGGGTGCCGTTGGGCGCACTCACCGGGGGTGCGGCTGCCCGGCACCTTCATGTAGAGCTGCACGGTGTTCATGCCCAGGATGGTGTGCCCCACATGGCTCAGCATGTTCCCCGTGGACGACACGCGCATGAAGGCCGGCAGCTTGAGCAGCTCCTGCAGCTGAGGCTTCCACCTGCGGGACCAGGGGGAACAGGGTGGCACCCGTGGGGCACGGCACCCAATGGAGGTGGCACCCATGGGGCACGGCACCCAATGGAGGTGGCACGCATGGGGCACGGCACCCAATGGAGGTGGCACACATGGAACACGGCACCCAATGGAGGTGGCACCCATGGGGCACGGCACACAATGGACATGGCATCCAATAGAGGTGGCACCCATGGGACATGGCACCCAATGGAGGTGGCACCCAGTGGAGGTGGCACCCAATGGAGGTGGCACCCATGGGACATGGCACCCAATGGAGGTGGCACCCAATGGAGGTGGCACCCATGGGACATGGCACCCAATGGAGGTGGCACCCAATGGAGGTGGCACCCATGGGACACAGCACCCAATAGAGGTGGCACGCATAGAACACGGCACCCAATGGAGGTGGCACCCAATGGAGGTGGCACCCATGGGACACAGCACCCAATGGAGGTGGCACACATGGAACACGGCACCCAATGGAGGTGGCACACATGGGGCACGGCACCCAATGGAGGTGGCACCCAATGGAGGTGGCACCCATGGGGCACGGCACACAATGGACATGGCACACAATGGAGGTGGCACCCATGGGACACAGCACCCAATAGAGGTGGCACGCATAGAACACAGCACCCAATGGAGGTGGCACCCAATGGAGGTGGAACCCATGATGCATGGCACCCAATGGAGGTGGCACCCATGGGGCACGGCACCCAATGGAAGTGGCACCCATGGTGCATAGCACGCAATGGAGGTGGCACCCATGGGGCACAGCAACCATGGGGCACAGCACCCAATGGAGGTGGCACCCATGGGACATAGCATCCAATGGAGATGGCACCCATGGGGCACGGCACCCAATGGAGGCGGCACCCATGGGACATGGCATCCAATGGAGGTGGCACCCATGGGGCATGGCACACAATGGAGGTGGCACCCATGGGGCACGGCACCCAATGGAGGTGGCACCCATGGGGCATGGCACACAATGGAGGTGGCATCCGTGGGGCATGGCACCCATGGGGCACGGCACCCAATGGAGGTGGCACCCATGGGACATGGCATCCAATGGAGGTGGCACCCATGGGACACAGCACCCAATGGAGGTGGCACCCATGGGGCACGGCACCCAATGGAGGTGGCACCCATGGGACATAGCATCCAATGGAGATGGCACCCATGGGGCACGGCACCCAATGGAGGCGGCACCCATGGGACATGGCATCCAATGGAGGTGGCACCCATGGGGCATGGCACACAATGGAGGTGGCACCCATGGGGCACGGCACCCAATGGAGGTGGCACCCATGGGGCATGGCACACAATGGAGGTGGCATCCATGGGGCATGGCACCCATGGGGCACGGCACCCAATGGAGGTGGCACCCATGGGACATGGCATCCAATGGAGGTGGCACCCATGGTGCATGGCACCCATGGGACGCGGCACCCATGGGACACAGCATCCATGGGACATGACACACAATAGAGGTGGCACCCATGGGGCACGGGACACAATAGAAGTGACTCCCATGGGACATGGAACCCAATGGAGGTTGCACCCATGGGACACAGCAACCATGGGACACGGCACCCAATGGTGCTGGCTCCCATGGGACACAGCACCCAATGGAGGTGTAGCCCATGGGACATGGCACCCAATGGAGGTAGGACCCATTGGAGGGGGCACCCATGGGACACAGCACCCAATGGAGGTTAGCCCATGGGACATGGCACCCAATGGAGGTAGAACCCATTGGAGGTGGCACCCATTGGTGTGTTGTCCATGGACCACATTATCCATGGGATGTGTCACCCATTGGAGATGTCACCCATGGAAGGTGGCATCCATGGGGAGTGTCACCCGTTGGACATGTCACCCATAGGTGAGCCCCATCACCCATAGGTGAGCCCCAACACCCATAGGTGAACCTCAACACCCATAGGTGAGCCCCAACACCCATAGGTTCACCCATCACCCATAGGTGAGCCCCATCACCCATAGGTGAGCCCCATCACCCATAGGTGAACCTCAACACCCATAGGTGAGCCCCAACACCCATAGGTTCCCCCATCACCCATAGGTGAGCCCCAACACCCATAGGTGACCCCAACACCCATAGGTGCCCCATCACCCATAGGTGAGCCCCAACACCCATAGGTTCCCCCATCACCCATAGGTGAGCCCCAGCACCCATAGGTTCTCCCATCACCCATAGGTTCCCCCATCACCCATAGGTCCCCCATCACCCATAGGTGAACCCCAACATCCACAGGTCCCCCGTCACCCATAGGTGAACCCCAACACCCATAGGTTCCCCCATCACCCATAGGTGAGCCCCAACACTCATAGATGAACCCCAACACCCATACGTCCCCCATCACCCATAGGTCCCCCATCACCCATAGGCTCCCCATCACCCACAGGTGCCCCCATCACCCATAGGCTCCCCATCACCCATGGGTGCCCCCCCCTCACCTCTTGGCATCCGAGAGGTCGATGTTGGTCCCAAACTTGATGATCTGGTGGGATTTCTGGTCGGGGTTGCTGGGGGGGTTGGGGGGGGGAGGACACATGGGGACACCCATGGGTGCCATGGGGTCACCAGGGTGTCACCCATGGGTGCCATGGGGTCCCCAGGGTGTCACCCCCCCCATAGAGGACAGGGGGTGGTCCTACCTGGGGGGGGTCTCTGTGGTGCTGTCAGGCTCCTCGGCCTCCTCATCCTCACTGTCCTTGTCCTCCTGTGG